TGGGACGGGGGGGGAGGGGGGGGCAGTGGTGTGTGCGGAGGAAGGGTTTTTCTCCCAGGCAGCGAATGGAGAGCACGCCCCAGGGCTCGCTGGCCTCGCGGGGTGTCTTGTACTGCCCATTATCCGGGTTCTGTGCTCCTGGGATTAGCCCGTGTCCCAAGTGCTGCTGCTGTCGCGTTGCCTCAGTCCTTTAGGGCACCGGGAGCTCATGGTGGAGGCTCGGTGGTGCTCGATAGGGCCCTTGTCAGCTCCCAGATCATCGGAATAGTCTGAGCGGGATGGGTGGGAAAAGGCTTCCCAGACGAGCTTGTGGCTTCCTTTGCTTTGTGGCAGGAGACCTTCGAGCTGGCTGTCCCCCAGCGCCCGTGTCCTGGCCGTGGTGGTGAAGGGGCTGCCAGCTGAGAAGGGCCGCGCTCAAGAACGGCCGGTGGGAAACAGGTCCGACTCGCCCCAGCCCCACAGGTGATGCAGGGCACCGTAGCGTTTGGGGCTGGAAAGCTGGTGGTGGATTTTTCTGGGGAGTGGGAAGCCGGGGCTGTGTCCAGACGGCCGGGATATCCTCCGTGCCTTCCTAGGGAAGGGCTTGCACCGCTCCTTGGTGCTAACCTGCACCTTAACTGCCCGGTTTATTTGTTCCCCCATCTCTTGCTGAGCTTTGGGTGAACCTGTGTGTCTGCCGAGCTGCGGTCGGTTTATTTTTCCCAGACATTTTTTGGGGTGGGGACAATTTTGAGCATTTTCTTTCCCTTGGGTGCTTTCTGGATTCGTAGCAGCTTGTTTAGGGCAACCACGTGGCAGCTCTGACCAAACTGTGGCAGGTCACAACAGCTGTGGTGCTCTGCGCTCGCGCAGCGTCTGTCCGAGCAAGCGCGGAGGGCGAGTGGCCGCCCCGCGCCGCGTTCGGCCGTTTCCCTCCTTGGCCCTGACCTAGAGCTGCACGAGAGCTGCCCATGAGGGCTTGCTTGGCAGGAGGGTTTTGTGATGTGGCTTCTGGAGCGACTCCCTCGTCAGAAGGCATCTCTGCCTGAGGAGGGGGGTCACTGGCTCCACACACGAGGCTCAAAACCTCTCC